AAGAATTGATAATAAAATGGGCCAGGGGCGGTGGCTCACGCCTGTAATCCTAGCACTCTGGGAGGCTGAGGTGGGTGGATTGCTCAAGGTCAGGAGTTCAAAACCAGCCTGAGCAAGAGTAAGATCCCGTCTCTACTATAAGTAGAAAGAAATTAATTGGCCAACTAATATATATAGAAAAAATTAGCCAGGCATGGTGGCATATGCCTGCAGTCCCAGCTACTTGGGAGGCTGAGGCAGAAGGATTGCTTGAGCCCAGGAGTTTGAGGTTGCTGTGAGCTAGGCTGACACCACGGCACTCACTCTAGCCTGGGCAACAAAGCAAGACTCTGTCTCAAAAAAACAAACAAAAAGAATTGATAATAAAATGGATGGATCCGCTTGTAATCTAAACAGTTTGAAGTAGAGATGACCATCACAATCTAAAGACTAGCTTGCTTCAAGCATCTGTAGTTTATGAGAGCAGTAATATTGGAAATGTCATGTTACAGCGTCTGAAGCTTCTAGAGAAAGCTATGTGAAGTGTTATTAGAATCAGCATTACCTTCTAACTTTTTTCCTGTGTAAATCAGTTCATTTTTTGTCTCAATGTGACCTCATTTGGAAATAGGTATCAGTTCATTTCTTAAATTTTCCTCTCATGTTTATTTTTAACAACTGAGTCATGAAGCTCATTTTTAATGTTTCATTTATGAAATTTTTATATTCACAAACCAAATAAAGGTGATTTGTCCTTTGTTATTGAATTAATAGCACAGAGACCATACCACCTTTCACAGTTTGTGTCCAAGGGTTTAACTCATAAATTAATGTTACTTTGTCGAGTAGCAAAAGATGAGAGGAGACTCTCTGCTTTTGCATATTTTAATTGGAAATTTAAAAGTTGTATGTTACTTATATTGTTAAAAAATTATTATAATAGAGTTAAAATGAGCCATTTTGTTATTGGTGTGAAGCTTTATGCCCATTACCCTTTCTTTTTTACCTTTTTAATTTGAAATAGAGACTCATAGGAAGTTGCAAAAATTGTACAGAGTTCAGTGTACCCTTCACCCAGCTTCCTCCAGTGGTGACATTTCATATAACCATAGTGTAATATCAAAATCAGGATATTGATGTACATATGTTATTGTTAACTAGATTACAGAACTTAGTCTGTTCTCGCCATTTAAAAAAAACATATATCTGTATTTTCATACCATTTTTCCACTAACTTTTAAAATATATTTGTTTTATAGGAGTTTGTACAGAGAAATTCTCTTCTTATCGTTAGTGTCTCTAGGAAGAGAGAATATTGATATTGGTAAGTAGTTAATGAGGGATTACTGAAGCAACTTTTTAGTTTTATTTTCTAAAGTAATTTTTAAAAATTGTAGCTGGTACGTGCCAATACTTCACTTGCCTTTAAAAGGATTTCTACATTTAGAGCTAGGCATGGTGGCTCACGCCTGTAATGCTAGCAATTTGGGAGGCTGAGGTGAGAGAACCACTTTGAGGCCAGGAGTTCAAGACCAACCTGGGCAACATAGTAAGACCCATCTCCAAAAAAATTTAAATTGACCAAAAAAAAGATTTCTACCTTTAAATATATAGTTATGTAATATGACTCAGTAGTATCATTTTAAAATGAATGGCTTTTGTTTATTAACAAATTACAACTGCATTTTTGAAAATTTCTTTCAGAGGCTTTTGATGATGAATATGGAATTGCATACAATAGTCTGCCTTCAGAGATTCTTGAAAAGTTGCAGAAAATTGATGCTCCACCGAGTATCAGTGTGGAGTGGTGCAGGAAGTGTTTTGGAGCCCCTCTCATTTAAATAAAAAGATTCATTGGAATTTTGGACACATGAGGCTGGGGGAATAGAGTCAATCTGGAATCATTCAAGGTTTTTTCCAAATCCTAAGAAATAGTAAAAACTGAAATGAAGTACTCTTGGGGCAATATCTAATGAATTGTAATTCATACTGAATCATCTCTAAATGTAAAATGTTATTAAAATGTCCCAGAGTTTATTGATATTGAAGATTTTCAACTCCTGAACTGTTTCTCTGCCTCTACTGAAAACTACTCTGGAATTTCTCAGTATTTGTTGTAGTTAGATAGAAATAATGAGAAACCATATTCATTAGAGGCATTTTGTTTGTATTTGAAGCTATTGGGTTTGGGGACTGGCAAATTAAACTTGCCTAATCCCCAAAACAAATGAAATTTCTCAATTATAAGAGCAACTATTTGTGTATGTGTGTATATGTGTGGGGCTGTGTAGGTATGTGTATATACAGCCATATTATAATGTATATTTATTAAAATTCTTAGATTGAGTGTTGCAATAGTTTTCTGAAAGGGTCCCATTGACCATTAAATAAATGACTTCTATTAAACTCATCTGTAGTCATTAATCTCAACATTACCCGAAAGTCTGATGACAACTGACTTTCCCTGACTTTAAATTTAATGTATCTTTACCTGTCATATCATGTATTATCTTGCTTAATGGATTATATCTTAAATATCCAGTTATTTCCATCCTCATCCCAATACCTTAATTGGCAACAGCTTTAAAATTGGAATAAATGAGCCAGTCATCAGACAGAATGAAATTAAATCAGCTTCCTTATAATTAATGAAATTAATCAGAATATGCTTTTTAAATGCTAAAGTGTATGTCATTGGACCTGAAATCTTTGTTCAGGCACATAAATTGTTGATATTAGTCACTTTTTAAAACCTGTGGGATAAACTTGCACTGCAGTTGTTTTATTCTTGTATAATATTTAGATTTATATGCTTGTGATAAAATTGTGCATTTGTAAATACTGTTTCTAAGGTTGAATCAATTAAGTCTTAAAACTTTAAAGCTTATTGAGCTTGTTGCCAGTAGGTTTAAGAAAATCATGACCTCAACATGCCTTACTTTGACATTTATCATGCCTTTTGTTAAAAACATCCCTTATGAACAAATTTGCCTTAACACTCTGTGTGGTTTAAGAAGCTAATGGTCTGTGTGTGCGTTTACAGTAAATTTATGCAAATGATTAAATCATTGACACAGAAACTTTACTTCCACCTGATGGAGTTAACAGCACAACTTTTCTTTCTACCTTGTGTAACCTTTTAAAAACTAGTTATTGTACCAATCTTTCAACATTTCAGGGTTTTTCTGACCTATGCAGATTTTAGTCTGAATTTATTGTGAAAGTACAAAGTGAAAGAACTTGTCAGAAATTATGTACAGTTTTCATTACCTTTAAAATGGATCTTTTGCACTGTCGCAGAGTATATATTTTTGCAACTTAAGACTTTGGTACTAGTTTTAATAATTAACACTTACTGACCCAACAGAACATTTGGAATTGCCTTGCATATAAAAAAAATTGAGGTTGAATAAAATAAAAAATTAAATTTGCTGTGCCTGTCTGTTACATTAAACCTCCTGAGATCTGTAGGATTAATTTGAATCTTTGTGATATTTAGAATTCCAGTATTTTGTTTTCTTCTCTGTAGTCTTCACAACTGTTATTTACCAAACCACTTCCCTTTTAAAAAGTCTATAATGAAAGCTTACATGTTTAGGCTGTATCAAATTAGATTTCCTAATACCTTGAAAACTTTAGCCTGTTGCTACTTGTATGTTACAGGATTGATTTCTTGTATTAAACTGCTTAAAGGCATTTTCACAAGACTAACCACAGGAAAAAAGTACCACTAAAAATTTACAGGAAAAAAAAAATCACCAGTCTATAAGACTTAGAAATGCCTAGCATGATTTGTGGCACTAAATGAAACCTTAATCCTGGTAACTTCTAAAAACAAACTTTCAATTTAGTCCAGTTATGTTGGTTTTGCACTATCTTTAGGTGCATGTTGTAGGTTGATTACATGCATGGCTAGTGACTTAACTAATGAACATGAATTAACAGGTCCCCCTAACTTCAGGATACTCAGTTGCTACCTTTTTGCATTTCCGGTGCACATTAGTACAAAATTGGACCTTTATTGTTTCATAGCTACATTCCTTGAAATCAGAAAGTAGGGTGGTTCTCATGTTTTGTGCATCACAATCAACCAGGTACGGCTTAATACTTAACTTCAGAAACTTCAGGTCATATACCAGACTTGTGGCTTTTAAGTTACTGTGGCCTTATCAGTCCTTTTTACTTAGTTAATAACACTACAGTTCTCCCTTTTGCTTTTTAAATTCTTCAATTTGTATTCATTGCTAATTAAGATTTTTCTCATGCTATGCAACTTTTTAACACCAAGTAGTAAGAGCGATGAGGACTTTTTACTATTATCAAAGGATCTTATAGTAAAGTGTGGGGCCCTATGCCTCAATCAGCATTTTAGCCAGACCCCTAGGTGATTCATATGTACATTTAGATTGTGAAACACTGCTTTTGGGCTCTGCATATTACCTTTCGTTCAAATAGATACTAACATTAAGAAAAAACATACTAATACTTTGCCTTTGTTCATTTTTCATTGATGCTAGAGTGTTCTTACATAGGCGCAGTCACCTTTCCAGAGTGTGAAAGAGAAAAACACAACGATTCACTAGAATTGAAAGGCTTTGTTAATACAATAAATTTGCACTGGTTTAAAAAAAGCTTTGAAGTGTTTAAAAACGGTATCCATTAAAACCATGCCTTAACAAGCTATCTTTTAAAGAATATGACATGTCCATCTTTACAAGGGCACTTTTTATGTATTAAATTGTGTATAGATGTTTTGAAAAGCTATATTCCTCAAAATAAACTGTATAAAAAGTGTAGTCCTAGTCATTTATTCCCCTTAAGCTGTTTGATGCCTTTCTGAAAAGGCAGATGTCTTACACCAAGACTCTTTTCCTGAGCCACCCATTCTCTCAAAAGAAACCCTTTATCCTTACCATCTATCTCTTCTGCCACTGAAGTCTGTCTGATTCTGTCCACCACCGAATTGCTGCACACATTTTCTTTCTAACTTTATCATCAATGAAAAAGCAGTAAAGCAGATATAGGATATGGTCTTATTTATTATTTAACTCAAAAAATCTTATTTTTGGCTCGACTCAGACTTAGAAGTAGATGCTCTCAGAGAGGACAGCCTACGTCTCTTGGCAATCTGTTCCTGGCGCTTTTCTTTGGCCTCCTAAACAAAATAAAACAGCAGAGTTAAAAAAAAATGCAAAGCCAAAGCCACCCTGACTTTTCTTTCCCCAAATCTTAGGCTTACCTTCATTCTCTTAGCCAAAAGTTTAGCATATTCTGCAGCCTCTTCCTTATTTTTCTTAGTGCGCTGCTTCTTCAGAGCAATACGCCGGCGTTTATGTTGCAGGACACGTGGAGTTACAAGTCGCTGAATCTTGGGTGCTTTGGTCCTAGGTTTCTTACCTAAAAATTCAAATGATTCAATCATTTCAAGCATACCCTTGTTTGGCAGGATCCACCTTTAAAATGTCACAGAGCTAAGCTTAACAGTGCCTATGCAATTTTGAGCCCTTATTTTTAAATGAAATATGAACTATTTTACAACTTTCTAAGATGTGCTAAATATGGTCAAAATACAAGGAAAACTAAAATCCTGAAAAATAACCAGGCTAACTTTATCATCACTATTTTTCACTAAAACAGTAGCATTAAACAATCTAACCGCGTACACAGTCAACTGTTTTTTGAAAACTACATAAACCACTATCTACTTCTTTATCCTACCATTTTATGCTTGCATCTCTATTTCCCATGACTGTTCCTGCCAATTTAGGGGAACATAACCATTACCGTCAGAATGTGTGGCATGTTGTTTTACATAGAGTATCTTCTTTTAGCCCTTCTGATTTATACTCCAAAAGTGCTTATGGATTGTAGATCTACTTTGGAGCAGAAGCATTCATTTTGTTCATGGAAGGTAAACATTCAAATATTAAATACTAAATTATTCAGGTTCTGGTAAAACATTAGATAGACCACTTTATTACCACAGATACAAGAACCACCTTAAAAACCGCATTTTTATTACACTGATGGTATTCCCATGAGTGAGATTATGGGGAAGCTGTCATATATTTGCCAATTACATTTTTTGCAATGTAAGCTTCATGAGGGTAGAAATTTATACCATGTCTTCAGCACCTGAAATAGTACACAGCAGGTGCCCAAATATTTGGAATGAATGACTACAGAGCACACTATATGCTAAGTGCAGGTGTGTAAGTCATACCAGTTGTGAAAACTAAATTAATGTTATGTACCACTGCTGCTGTGGACCAAACTGGTATTATCAGGTATGTTGCATAATAAATATTTAGATATAAATTCTGAAGAGACAAAACTTCAAACCCACAAACAGCTACTCCCTAGTATTTTGGGTAGTAAGGTATTTTTCTTAACTTCTAATTCTCTCAACTCTTACTATTGTTATTCGTATCAAATAGATGAGTAAACAGTAAACAGTTAAAAGCAACTTCAGTAGATGAAAGCATGTATTTTTTTTTGTGAGCCATAAAATAGTTTAGAATCTCTATGGAGAGAATTTACAAAAGTGTGTGAAGGTGAGATCATAGTCCCATAATTTGCCATCATTCTTGTAACTCCTAAACCTAATAGAAATGAATTTAAAATATATTTGGACAAATATATACATCAGTGACTCAGGCAGGCTTTCAAGAAAATCACAACTCTACATAACACCAAATATAATAAGAATTAATATCAATGGGGTATCTTGACCACCCTGCCAACAGGTTCCTAAAAATTTAGACTTCAGGTGCTACTGCCCCAAAGGGAGACTTTACTTCTGATATGTACACAAAATGCTAATGACATATTACTAAAATTAAGCAAGCCCTAAACTGCATAATCCCTCCTACCTTCTTTATTTAAGGGCTTCCTCACAACATACTGGCGAACATCATCTTCTTTAGACAGATTGAAGAGTTTGCGGATTCTGCTAGCTCTTTTGGGCCCCAGACGACGAGGTACTGTAGTATCAGTCAGTCCAGGGATATCCTTCTCTCCTTTGAACAAAGACAAAAATTTAACAACTTCCTTATAATTAAGATTCCTAAATTAACATGGTTAACATTGAATTGATAATTTGTAACTACAATCATCAAAGTGTGAACAATGCAAATGAAAAGGCATTTGGATAACTGGCTTTTAATCAATTTCAACAAAAATCTGAGTCACATAAGCAAGTCTCACCTTTTTTTACAATAACCAAGTTGAGAACACTCAGGTTGGCATCCACAATACAACCACGAACAGATTTGCGCTTTCTTTCTCCAGTTCTCCTTGGTCTGTAACAGGAATGCCCCTTACTCAGTAGCAGGCGAACACGGCCATGGGTCAAGACACCCTGCTTCATGGGGAAACCTTGCTTGTCGTTCCCACCACTGATTCGGACCACATAACCCTGCATGAATCCAAAACCGACACGTTCACTATTCCAAATTTATATAAAGTACACGATTGTGGCTTCTATGAACCACACCTCTACTTGAGGGATTACAATTCTTTAGGATCAATTTGAATCAATTTGAATAAGCAAATCAATGTTTCCTCTGGTCACTAAGTATTCTCTACATTTCCAACTTGCCAAGTTCAATTATCAAGCCACATTTCTCACCTATATTTTATTAAAGACAACACTTAAGAGGACGAAGATGTTCAAGAAACCAAAATATCACAGAGCAACAAATCAGAAACCCTTCTTAGCACTTTAAAATAGCCTTTGGGGACTGTTAGGACATTGGGCTAGTGCAAGATGCATGGCAAGAACTATGCTCAGGTAAACTTTACAGGTTTCCCGGCTTAATCTGCATAACCCCTACAGGTGACAGCTCAACTTTATAAAGTGACATTTGGAGTAACTTACTCAAGGTCAAATTTCAGAACCCAGAATTTCAACCCCATTCCAAATCTCAATTATCAACAGCGTTTATCATCTTTCACTTAAAAGAACTGCAACAACTTAATGGCCCAATTTTACCTTCCATTCTTCACCCAGAGCGTCGGCAGCAACTTCCGTGGCCATACGCTTCTCATAGAAAGTGCGAAGTTTGCGTTCATCATCCACTTCAATGAGTTTCTGGCAGCCAGTGGCTGGGAAGGAGATATTCAGCTAAGGATTAAAAGGGGAAAAAAGCTTAGCAAACTACTTACACAGGTGTTTATAAAGGCAATTCCATTGCAAAAAGCCTTTCCTGTCACCTACACAATCAGCAGAAAACGTGAGATACTGCTTTTAGTCACTGAAAAGCACAGCACGTGAAAGCATGATAACGCTCAACACGCACCGCACGTAAATAGAACACGTTTTCCTCCAAGCCCCGCGGAATGGTTCCGGGGGAGACCGCGCTCCGCAGTCGTTCACCGTCCGGAGCACGGAGCCCGACCTAAGTAGGAGGCTGAAAAGGCGCACGACAGGCCTGCCGCAAACCGGACAGCACGCCCGCAAGCGTCTCGGCCGGGCGCGAGGACGCCACCATAGCGCTCCCAGCCGGGTACAGCTCCAGCAGCAATCGCCCGCCATCCGCGCCCTGAAGGAGCTCCGACCCCAGGAGAACAAAGTTTCTCCTGCTTCAGACTCTTCTCCACCTAGGGCCACGATTTTGGAGTGCTGAGACTGCGACAGTTCCGCTTTCTGGGACTCGATACGCGTCCCTCAAGCCTAGTACAACACCCGGCGCCGCTTCCTACCTTCATCGTGAAGCAGCTGATTGCCTCCGAGGCGCCACGAAAAAGAGGCCCGACTTCCGCTTAGTCCAGGTCACATAGGCGCTTTCAGTTCTCGCGAGATGAGCGGACGCCTTGGCTGGCGGAAATGAGTAGAGTGGGCGGTACTTCCGGGGACAAAGGTATTTCACTATGGGGAGGTGAACTGGGTGGACCGAGAGTTTAAAGGTACACGGATAACGGAGGTCTGGCCAGGCGACCCTGCGTTCAGTTTGGGGTGTTGTTAGCCTTTCCTCTGCCTAGTCTTTTCTGCGCTCGCTGGGGCTTGTAGCTGGGCCCCGGCGGAGCCCGAGTTTGCTCCAGACACCCTGCAACTGACGGTACCGAAGTAGGAGAGCAAGGGCTGGGGTTCGGCTTTTCTCTTGGGCTATTTTGTACCTGAGGCTACAACTGAAGATTACCACTTTGGCAGCGTGTCCTGCCCTGGTCCTGGCGATTCATAGCAAGAAATCGTGAAAGCCATGATTTATTTTTCACTTAAATACTGGATCATCCGCTTGGCTTCTCAAACGCTTTGGAGTCTTCTATATCCTATCACATAATGACACCCTTTCGGGCAAGCCATGGCCGGGTTACAGGCAGCCTTAAGTTTCCCTGCTTGCTTTCTTGCCTCTACGATCTTTTTTTTTTTTAGACAGAGTCTCACTCTGTTGCCCAGGCTAGAGTGCTGTGGCGTAGCCTAGCTCACAGCAACCTCAAACTCCTGGGCTCAAGCAATCCTCCTGCCTCAGCCTCCCGAGTATCTGGGACTACAGGCGTGCGCCACCATGCCCGGCTAATTTTTTGTATATATTTTTAGTTGGCCAATTAATTTCTTTCTATTTTATAGTAGAGATGGGGTCTTGCTCTTGCTCAGGCTGGTTTCTAACTCCTGACCTTGAGCAATCCGCCCGCCTAAGCCTCCCAGAGTGCTAGGATTATAGGCGTGAGCCGCCGCGCCCAGCCCCCTCTACCGATCTTTTTAAAGCGCAAAGTTACAATCACTCTCCTGCTAGAAATGCTTTATTTGCTTCCCACTGCAGTTAGATACTGTCCAAACTCCTTTCCATGGATTCACAGACTTTCTAGTCTTCAGATTTACCTCTTGTCAATCGCTAATGACCTGCAGATCTTTCAGATTAAATGTCGCCTCCTAAGAGAAGCCTTTCCTAACATACTACCTGAAATAGAACCTCCTCCCTTATTCTCTAGCATAGCACTGTTTTCCTTTATAGTACTTAATCATGATAAATAAGTGGTTTGTATATGATCTATCTCCTCTATTAAATGATAAATTTGGTCAGGGCTCACATCTTCATTGTGGTATACTTAGGACATCACTGAGTGCATAACACATAAGAAAGTGCTCAGTAAATATTTGTTAAATTGTCTTAACCTCAGCTCTGGTATGTAGTTGTTGTAGTCTATCAGAATGTAGTAGTATGGAGCCAGCCAGCAGAGGGAGAATAAGTGAATGTATTATACTAAATCTTGTATCAGCAATTATGCAACTCTTAGTAGTACAAAAAGATGTAGAAAAGATACAGTGCATTTGATTAGTTCTTTAGAACATTCCTGGGATAACAGAATGGGAACCCAGATAATCTAAATCTGAAACATATTCTTTCTTTATTTATTTAGAGATGGGATCTCACTATGTTGCCCAGGCTGGAGGATTCCTTGAGGCCAGGAGTTTGAGACTAGCCTATGCTACGTAGTGAGACTCAGTATCTACAAAAAATAAAAAAAATTAGCCAGGCATGGTAGTGCATGCCTGTATTCCTAGCTGCTCAGGAGGCTGAGGCAAGAGGATCTCTTGAGCCAGGAGTTCAAGGCTGCAATGAGCTATGATAGCACCACTGCACTCCAGCCTTGACAACAGAGCAAGACCTTGTCTCTAAAATAATAATAATAATCATAAATAAATAAAACCTGTGTACTGTATTTTTTTTGTTATTGCGGTGAAATTGACATAATTATTTTAAAGTGAACAATTCAGTGGCATTTAGTACATTCACAATGTTGTGCAACCAACACCTCTGTTTCACAACTTTTTAATCATCCATTAAAAGTTGCCTGTCATTGCACATTTCCACCATCTCCTGGAAACCAGCAATCTATATTGTCTCTATGGATTTATCTATTCTGTATATTTCATATAAATGGAATAATACAAAATGTGACCTTTTGTGTCTGGCTTTTCATGTTTCTGAGTTCATGTGTGTTGTAGAGTATAGCTGTACTTCATGCCTTTTTATGGCTGAATATATTCCACTGCAATTTGTTTATCCATTCATCTATTGATGGATGTTTGGACTCTTTCTCCCTTTTGACTATTGTGAGTAGTGCTGCTATGTTTGAATAGCTCTTTTCAATTCTTTTGGGGTATATACCTAGAGGTGGACTTGCTGGGTCATATAGTAATTCTATGTTTCACTCCTAGAGTAACTACAAAATTGTATTCCACAGCAGCTAAGCCATTTTACATTCCTACCAGCAATGTATGAGAGCTCTAATTTCTCCACATCCTGGGCAACACTTGTTATTTTCTGTGGTTGTTTTCTTTCTTTCTTTCTTTTTTTTTTTGAGACAGAGTCTCGCTTTGTTGCCCAGGCTAGAGTGAGTGCCGTGGCTTCAGCCTAGCTCACAGCAACCTCAAACTCCTGAGCTCGAGCAATCCTGCTGCCTCAGCCTCCCAAGTAGCTGGGACTACAGGCATGCGCCACCATGCCCGGCTAGTTTTTTCTATATATATTAGTTGGCCAATTAATTTCTTTCTATTTATAGTAGAGACGGGGTCTTGCTCTTGCTCTGGCTGATTTTGAACTCCTCACCTCGAGCAATCCGCCTGCCTTTGCCTCCCAGAGTGCTAGGATTATAGGGGAGAGCCACCGCGCCTGGCCTGTTTTCTTATTATAGCCATCCTAGTGAGTGTGATATGGTACCTCATTGTGGTTTTGATTTGCATTTCCCTAATGAGATGTTTTCATGTGTTTTTTGACCATTTGTATATCTTCTTTGTAGAAATGTCTAGTAAAGCTCTTAACTCCACCCCATTTTTTGGCTCTAATTGTTTTTATTGAGGTAGTGGTGGTGAGTTAATGTGCGATAAAGAGTAAAGTCTAGGACTGTGACCCAGGTTTCTTTCTTTTCTTTTTCTTTTAAAACATTTTGAATGCATTTTTAAATTGTTGTAAAAATATATAACATGAAGTTTATCATCTTAACCATTTTTAAGTATACACTTCAGTAATGTTAAATATATTCACGGTGTTGTGAAACAGATCTCCAGAAATTTTTCATCTTGCAAAATGGAAGCTCCATATTCATTAAACAACTCCCCTGTTTTCCCTAGCCTCAGGCTTTGGTAACCATTCTACTTTCTGTCTCTATGATTTTGACTACTCTAAGTACCTCATGTAAGTGGACTTAAACAGTGGTTGTCTTTTTGTGAGTGCCTTATTTCACTTAGCATAATATTCTCAAGATTCATTCATGCTATAGCATGTGACAAGATTTCCTTCAGTTTTAAGGCTGAATAATATTCTATTGCATGTATATACCACATTTTGTTTATCTGTTTATTTGTCAATGGACATTTTGGTTGCTTTCACCTCTTGGCTATTGTGAATAATGCTGCTATGAACATGGATGTGCAAATATCATCAAGACTCTGCTTTCATTTCTTTTGGCTATATACCTAGAAGTGGGATTGCTGGATTATGTGGTAGTTCTATTTTTAAATTTTTTGAGGAATCTCCATACTGTTTTCCATAATGGCTTTACCAATTTACATTTCCACCAATAGTACAGAAGGGTTCTTTGCCATTTTGAATTGTGTTGTAAGAGTTCCTTATATATTCAGAACACTAAAATCTTATTAGACATATAATGTGCAAATATTTTCTCCTATAGGTTATCTTTCTGCTTTCTTGACAATTTGTCCTTTTCATGCACTAAATTTTTAATTTTGATGAAGTCTATTCTCAATATTTAAAATGTTGTTGATCATGCCGTTGGTGTCATTAAGAAATAGATTGTGAAATCCAAGGTCATAAAGATTTACCCCTCTGTTTTTAAATCTAATCTTAAAGATTTGCCCCTATGTTATGATTTTAGTTCTTATATTTAGGTCATTCATCTATTTTGAGTTTATTTTTTATTTATTTATTTTTTTTGAGACAGAGTCTCGCTCTGTTGCCTAGGCTAGAGTGAGTGCCATGGCGTCAGCCTAGCTCACAGCAACCTCAATCTCCTGGGCTCAAGCAATCCTCCTGCCTCAGCCTCCCAAGTAGCTGGGACTACAGGCATGCGCCACCATGCCCGGCTAATTTTATATATATATATATATATATATATATATATATTAGTTAGCCATTTAATTTCTTTCTATTTATAGTAGAGACGGGGTCTCGCTCTTGCTCAGGCTGGTTTCGAACTCCTGACCTCGAGTAATCCGCCCGCCTCGGCCTCCCAGAGAGCTAGGATTACAGGCGTGAGCCACCACGCCCGGCCTTGAGTTTATTTTTTAATACAGTGTGAGGCAGGGAGTCCAACTTCATTCTTTTGCACGTGAATATCCAGTTGTTCTAGCACCATTTGTCAAAGAAACTATTCTCTCCCTCATTGAATGGTCTTAGCACTCTTGTTGAAAATTAATTGCCATAGATGTATGAGTTTGTTTTTGGACTCTTTTTTTTTTTATTTTTTTTGAGACAGAGTCTCACTCTGTTGCCCGGGATAGAATGCTGTGGCGTCTGCCTAGGTAGCTCACAGCAACCTCAAACTCCTGGGCTCAAGCAATCCTCCTGCCTCAGCCTCTTGAGTAGCTGGGACTGCAGGCATGTGCCACCATGCCTGGCTAATTTTTGTATATATTTTTAGTTGGCCAATTAATTTATTTCTATTTTATAGTAGAGATGGGGTCTTGCTCTTGCTCTGGCTGGTTTCGAACTCCTGACCTTGAGTGATCCCCCACCTCAGCCTCCCAGAGTGCTAGGATTACAGGCATGAGCCACCACACCTGGCCATGGACTGTTAACTCTATTTCCTTGGTTATATGTCTGTCCTTATGTCAGTGCTACACTGTTTT